AACTCCTTGGAAAGCAATTCAGAGTATTCTTCCTTTTTTCCTCAACTGTATCAGGTATGATGTCAATTCTGGTACTTCTGTTTTGTTCTAGGAAAACATCTGGGTGGGCAATTCTGCCCTTAAGGACAGTTTTCCTTCTCTCTATTCCATTTCTTTCTACAAGGTAAAACAATCTCTCACTTTCTTCCAACATCCGCTTCTCCATCTTCTCTGAATTGGGACTTTGGGTTTCGTAGGGGCTTGAGGGATCATGAACTCTCCTGTGTCTCAGACCTTTTGTCACTACTTGAAAGTGTTTTTCTGGACCCTTTAAGATCTGATGTGAGACTTTGGTCTCTTAACCCAAAAGGCTTACTTCACGTGTGCTTCCTTCTTTAAGTCCCTTTGCTATCCCTCGGGAGAAGTGGGTTTCCCAGCTAAGGAGATTTGGTCTAAACCTGTACCTCCTAAAATTATTATTTTCTGTCGGGAGGTGTTTTATAGGAAAATAAACACTTCAGACTTATTGCAGAAGAAAAGGCCTTCTATGTGTTTGTCTCCTAATTGGTGTGTACTTTGCAGGGCTAATGGTGAGGATTGCTCTCACTTACTTTTAACCTGTTCTTTTTCTGTTGCTATTTGGGGTTGGATCTTTGCTTTGTTTGGTTGCAGATGGAATTTGACCACAGCCATATATCAGATCTTTGACCCTTCCTTATTTGTGTGGCCTACAAAAATTGGTAAAACAACGTGGAGGTGCATTAGAGCTGCTGCTTTGTGGACAATTTGGGAAGAAAGAAATGTGAGGATCTTCCAAGAGAAGGAGAGAAATATTCAGAATGTAAAGGATTGCATTTTGACCAATGCAATCCATTGGCTGAGATCATTAGACTCCTTTAAAATATATTCCTTTGATGACATGTGGAGGAACTGGATTGCTGTTGCTAGTAGCAGTAACAGGAAGAACAGGGTACCAGCTGTGTGGGTGCCTCCTTCAGAAGACTGGACAAAGCTGAATTTTGATGGTAGCAGCCAAGGAAATCCGGGTCCATCAGGGATAGGTGGGGTGCTGAGAGATAAAGTTAGTAATATATTAGCTTTATTCTCAGGTTCCGTGGGTATAGGAGACTCTATTAGAGCTGAGCTTCTAGTGGTAGTGCAAGGTATTCAGATTGCAGATCAGTTAGGAGTTCAGAATTTGCTTATTGAAGGAGACTCCAAAGTCATTGTGGGTTGGTTAAAAAATCCAGCTTCAGTGATTTTGTGCTACAGGGATATTATGAGGAAAGCTAATTGGTTTTCAAGGAACATGACTGTTGTTTTAGGAGATAATCCTAAGAGTGTCAGCTTTTGGGCTCCGGTAGTGGAGAGGTTTGAGAAGAGGCTAGCGGCCTGGAAGAGGAGTTATCTTTCTTTAGGTGGAAGAGTCTCTCTCWTTAGATYTRCCCTAGCTAACCTTCTTGTTTACTTTCTGTCAGTGTTTAAGATCCCCTCAAAGGTTTCAAATCTTTTGGAAAAATTAATAAGGAACTTTCTCTGGGAGCCTGGAGAG